CTGGGGTGCATTAGGCAGAGTGTTGCCAGCAGGTGGAGGGAGGTGATCCTGCCCCTCTCCTCAGCCCTGGGGAGGCCTCACCTGGAGTACTGTGTGCAGTTCTGGGCTCCCCAGTACAAGAGAGACATGGCACTCCTGGAGAGAGTCCAGCGGAGGGCTACCAAGATGATTAGAGGGCTGGAGCACCTCTCCTATGAAGAAAGACTGCAAGAGCTGGGCCTGTTCAGCCTGGAGAAGAGAAGATTGAGAGGGGATCTCATCAACGTGTACAAGTATCTGAAGGGGGAGTGTCAAGAGGATGGGGCCAGTCTCTTCTCCGTGGAGCCCAGCAACAGGACAAGAGGCAATGGGCAGAAACTGAACCACAGGAAGTTCCATCTGAACCTGAGAAAAAACTTCTTCACTGTGAGGGTGACAGAGCACTGGAAGAGGTTACCCAGAGAGGTAGTGGAGTCTCCTTCGCTGGAGATACTCAAAACCCGTCTGGATGTGATCCTGGGCAATGTGCTCTAGAGGACCCTGCTTGAGCAGGGAGGTTGGACTAGATGATCTCCAGAGGTCCCTTCCAACCTAAACGATTCTGTGATTCTGTGGTTCTGTGAAAATGAGTTGTAATGGGGTTAAACTACAGCAAGAGAGGTTTTAGCTAGAAACCAAGACCACCCCTCTAGTGATATGGACAGTGTATCACTAGAATTGTTTGTCAGAGGAATCTGTGAATGCTCCAGCAGTGGAATTTTTGAGACAGAACAGAAACTTTCAGGAGTGGCTGATTCTTCCTTGAGACAGGAATAGATTAGATTATTCCTCATGGTTTTCAGCTGTATATTCCATAAATCTTTAATATTTCAAACTGCTGCATTGTTGTCAGAACAAGTTAGACAACGCAGAAAAGTTATCCCAAGGACAGGTGTCATCTTCAATTAATAAAAATGACCTAGTGGTCTGAGGTTAATGGAAAGACACCTTCTGAGTTAAATGATTTTTATTAAATCCGAAAGAAAACAGAGCACTGTTCACGAAAGAACCACAGGTCAGGAGGGGACTCAGGAGTAGTAACTGTATGGCAGTATTCACTAAAGAAAGAAATGTTGTCTCTTCAGATACTCTTAACTGTAGATCCTAAAGATACCCAAACTCTTAATTACAGATCATGTTTGAGACATTCAATGCGCCAGCCATGTACGTAGCAATTCAGGCAGTGCTGTCTCTGTATGCATCTGGAAGAACTACTGGTGAGTCTTTCTGGAAATTGTGTTGTCCACATGTCTTTCTCGTGTGTGCAGGCACGCACCTGTGAATGTATTTTGATTGGGGTACACCAGCTATGTATTCAGCAGAACTGATCACTCTGGAAACTGAGTGCTTCCCACCATGCTGCACAAGTACCTCTTGGCTATTTGCAGATTCATAGCAGTTATGGGTATAGATCTTAAGTCTTTCTGCTCGAAAAGCTCAAGTCATTACTACTTAACTATATGAACATTTCTGTTGTGAATATAAAGTGTGTGTATACTGATGAAAGATGCTACAGTTTAATACTGCCCTTAATTGCACAGCATAGAAGGAAGCTGTATCTTTAACAGATTGTTTCAAGCCCACAGTTCCTTCTTACTCTCTTCAGACCTATCTTTATTGTTGACCTCCATTCCCAATCAGTGAAAAATACCCTTTAGTATTTAGTTTAAACGTTGAATTTCAATTGCCTAACTAGATGTTGGCTGTTAAGAGATCATTAGAATTAGCATGGAGATCTTTTCTCATTCCTTGCCATTTAGAATCTGATCAAGCATTAAGATCATAAATTACTTCCTAGCAACCCATGAGTCTTGGTATACTTTGAAAAAAAATTAAAATACCATCTGTCTTTGCAGCCTGATGTCAAAATCTAATTTCGTATGAAAAGATCACTGGCTTACAGGAATCAAGATCTACCATAAAAAATTGTTTTATGTTTGAAACTCACCCGCGTGTATGCATTTTTGTTATCAGAAACTTTTATTCATTTTGAGTGAAAAACATATACTTCACTTCCTGTCCAAGTATGTAAATAGCATTGCTCTGCACTGATAAACCATTGTTATATTCTCCCTAATGGGGTGGTTTATATTAATGGTACCCAGATTTTTATATACAGTTTTTATATTATGTCTATAAAATGCTAGGGGTCTTCTGAAATGGAAGACTGTGTATACATGTAAGATCATTATTGTTAGCATCTGTTCAGCAAGAACAATACAATCAAATTGCTGAATGGTTCATGTTTGTTTTTCCCCAGAAGCAATTGCCACTTAGTTTATGCTAACAGTTTCATCTCATGTGAACAGATCTCTAGTTATAAAAAGGACAGAAGGAATGTGAGCATCTTTATTCGTTGCTGCATGTTTTGGTTTAGAATATGGAGAATGTAGAGATTCTGTAGCAGTGGAAAATACCCAGCTTCTTTTCTTTTTTCTTTCCAGGAATAGTTTTGGATTCTGGGGATGGTGTCACACACAATGTGCCTATCTATGAGGGTTATGCCTTGCCTCATGCCATTATGAGACTGGATCTTGCAGGCAGAGACCTGACTGACTATCTCATGAAAATCCTTACAGAGAGAGGCTACTCTTTTGTCACCACTGGTAAAAAGTTGTGTTTTGTATGCACTTTGCATGCATTTGCTCCGTTAGTTGTCCTGTTAGGCTGGAAGTGAAGTGTGTAACTGGTAAGATGCAGCAAAACCCTTATCAGTAGGTAGGCCAGAGAAACGCAGTTCATGTTAGCTAGTGGGATTCTCCCGACTAAGGCTTTCAGCAGATGTATTGTACTTCAAGGACGAGTATGCTACCTTATCAGGAAATCTTACATCATCAAGAAATTTAACTGATGGTTGCATTTGATCATACCTCTTTCACACACAAAGGAGCAGAGTTAGTAGTGAGTAAGGGATGAACCTATGGAGACTTCATAAAGGTTTTGTGACATAAGGGTGACTTAATCTCTAGAATATTCTGTAGTACCGTATGTATTTTATTTGCAGCAGAAAAAAATCTTGTAACGGAAATAGAAAATATTTTAGCTGAGACAACAGAGAGGTCAGTATCAGAATCTAACAGACCATATGGCCTTTGTGCACAGGCAGAAACATGTATGAAAAAGTTTGTGTGTCCTAGCTGTCGTACTATATGTTGATAAAACTTATTGGCTGTCTGCAGCGGAACGGGAGATCGTGAGAGACATAAAGGAGAAGCTTTGTTACGTGGCTTTGGATTTTGAAAATGAAATGGCAACTGCTGCTTCCTCCTCCTCTCTTGAAAAGAGCTATGAGCTTCCCGATGGACAAGTCATCACCATCGGAAATGAACGATTCCGATGCCCGGAAACTCTCTTCCAGCCATCCTTCATAGGTGGGATAGGACTTCTCTTTCTAAGTGCTTGACAGAACGTGAAGAGAATACTTTGTTAAAGTAGAAAGGAAACTTTCAGCTGTAGGGCCTTGATTTATTCTCAAATGTCCTTAGAAACATGCAGCTTCTATTGACTTAATCAGATTAGTTCTTCAGAAGCTATGAACGCTGCTGCTGCTGCTGGACAAAGATGCCTGTCAGTTTAGAAATACCAAAATTCTAAGACAGTTTCATCTTTTATAAATGCAATGGAGTTTTTAAGATGATGTTTAGAATACGGTCAGAAGATCGTGCCTTTTGTATTGACTGATTTATAGCTGTGCAGTGATGCTTACGTTGGTTATGTATCTAGGCACTGCTTCTGTTTATCGATTTATTATATTAATCTGTAACTTAACTAATCATACAAAATCAAATCATGTATTATTTTCCAGCAGTTTTATCTGTAATGTCAAAATTCCCATCTTATTCACTGGATGACTGGCATG